TTTATAAATTGTTTTTAATTCCAATTTTATATTATTAAAATTGTTTTTAATTTTAATCTTGTAAAAAAAAAAAGTTTATTTTATAAAATACATTATAAAATCTATTTTAATTATATTTTAGTGAATAATTTATTATAGTAATAATGAATTTTCTTATAATAAAAAACCAATTTATCTGAATACTAATTTTGTTATAACTGTATTAGTAAAATAATTATGTTAGCAAAGTTATTATTGATAAAATAATTATAATTATTAGTAAAATAGGTGAATTTTGTAAAAAAACTGAAACTTTATTATAAATCTTTACCTTATATAAATATATACAGTCAAACCTTGATATAGTGAATCCTTGATATAGCGAATTTTTAAATCAAATATATTAAAATTACCTTTACTATAGTGAACTAGCCAATTAAATTCTTTAAAAAATTCGTTATAAGCTTATAACGAAGTTGATATCCAGATTCTAGAATTCGTTATATCAAGAGTTCACTGTATGTTTTTTGTTTTACTATGATACATAAGTTTAATAGTAAACAAATAATAATAAAAAATTAATGGAAAATGAAAGTCATCATTGAATACGATATTTCTCTACGAAACAATGAAATTCATCTTCGAAACGATAAAAATCACCTTTAAATGCGAAATTCGTCTTTGAAATAACAAAATTATCTTTGAATGTGAAATTTGTCTGCGAAATGATGAAAATTGTCTTCGAATGCGAAATTCGTCTTTGAAATGATGAAAATTACCTTCGAATGTGAAATTCGTCTTTGAAATGATGCAAATCACCTTCGAATACGAAACGATAAAAATCGCCTTCAAATGCGAAATTTGTCATCGTTTGATGAATTTCATTCTAATTCGTTAACGAAATTCTTAACGAATCGTTATTATGAATTTCGTAATGAATCGTTTAACAAAATTCGTTATGATTCATTATAATGAATTTCGTTACAATTCGTTAAGATTCATTTAAATGAAATTCATATAAACAAATCATTATACCGAAATTCATTATGATTCGATATTACAAATTTTGTAACGAATTGCGTTACAATTCGTTACAATTTGTTTAGTGAAATTGTTTAACAAAAACTGTAACAAATCATTAAACAGAATTTGTTTAACGAAAACTGAAACAAATCGTTTAAACGAATTGTATTACAGATTTGTTAACGAATCATTTAAACAGAATTTGTTTAATGAAAACTATTACGAATTGTTAGCTGGATTTGATTAACGAAATCTGTAACGATTCGTATTATGGATTTGTTAACAAAAATCTGAAATGAATCGTTAACCAGATTTGTTTAACGAAAACTGTAATGAATCATTAAATGGAATTCGTTTAATGAAATTCGTAACGAATCATTATACGAAACAAAAACCTGAAATGAAACGTTAGTCAGATTCATTTAATGAAATCTGTAACGAATCATATTACAGATTCGTTAATGAAAACTGAAATGAATCATTTAAATGGAATTTGTTTAATGAAATCTATAATGAATCGTTAAACAAAATTCATTTAATGAAATCTGTAACAAATCATTATACAGATTCGTTAACGAAAATCTAAAACGAATCGTTAAATGGAATTCGTTTAATGAAATCTGTAACAAATCATTATACAAATGCATTAACTAAAACCCAAAATGAATCGTTAGCTGGATTCATTTAATGAAATCTGTAATGAATTATATTACGGATTCATTTAATAAAATCCGTAATGAATTATATTACGGATTCATTAACGAATTGTTATAACGAATTTTATAACAAATCATCGTAGCAAACTGTTAATGAATTTCATTACGGATTGTTAACAAATCTTGTTAATGTAATTTGTTAGTGAATTGTTACCAATTGGTAAATTTAATTGAATAATAATCATCAATCAGATATTAAACTGATTGATAACTAATTATTAATTGAACCTGATTTGTTACTATTTAACATATAGTTATTAATTTTTTAAAATAAGTATAAAATCGGGTTGAAAACTGATTTATGTAATTCTACCTAATAATTATGATTATGCTATTAACTGATTTATGCCCGATTGTAGTATCTATTGATTTCTATCTATTGATTAATGATCAAAAAATAATGACTAATCAGAAAGGTACCCGATTTATCAACGTTCGACTGGTGTTCATTAGGTCATTATAAATTGTAAGATTTATATCAGGTAACGGTTGGTAGAAGAGTAACCAGTCATCATCAATAGGGACATTTTCGTGAGTGGTACTAGCAGCTATCTGAAAATGCCTGGCAACTTCTTGTTTAACTGCGTCTTCGTCTGTTAAAAGGTTATATGATGAGAACGCATTGTTTATATACCAGTTAATAATAATTGTTCGTTTTGAGCGTCCTAACAGTGAGTCAGTCATTTTTGCAAGGAAAGATTGGTAATTGTCCAATCTTCTTTCTATGGTCTGTTGGATTGATTTGAGCTTGAAGTTATGCTCATGAAGTTTAGCTTTCATGAGTATGCTTCCAAATAGTTGATCAATAAAAGGAGAAAGTGAATATACAATGGAGACTAATGGATCAGGTGATATTGTGACATGTATAATATCAGAGTCTTTTATTATAGTATAACGTTTTTAATTAATGCTGACCAGTTGGAGAGGATGATTAAAATGCGATTAATTTTCTTTGTTACCCTCTTGAATTTATATAAGAATTTAAGTTGCTTATATAATTTTGATACTAGAGAAGGTCTTTTTACTGAATGCTACCCTTTTGAGTTGTGAAAGAGAATAGATGCATCTGCAGCCTTTATAATACATTCTTGAAAGAAATCTTAGTATCAGTTTAATTTGTGTTGATCGAATACAGTTTTGTTACTGAGTGCACGAAGTTGACATCTATTAGCTAACGCATCTGCTTTATTACCGAAATGTAATCATTTCTTGTCTGACATTTTATCATAATCAAATATTTTTTTTAGTAGAATATTCTTTTTTTTATTTTTAACAGCTAAGAAGTTTTCAATTCTAAAGATAATTATAGAGTGATCTGATAATAAGGACAGAACATCTTCAATATCGCAATGATCGAAATTAGAAATTATGTCATCAGAAGATTAAATGAAGTTGATTTGAGACTTCGACTTTAGAGAATGATGCGTAGGATATGTAGCTCTATGCTAATCATACTTAACTGAAAATGTATCAAAGAGGTAAGAATTATTCAGATGAAGAAAAGATTTTTTTCTTGTGAGTGTAGCTTTGGATTGTCCATATCAGCATTGAAGTCACTGAGGAAAACGATATGATAGTTGTTAGAAGTTGCATCTCTGATATATTTCATAAGATCTATCTGAATGTCAGAGGCAGATTTTGTTAAAAAAACAACAAAATTGTTTGTTTTTTTACTATTAAAATGCCGTTCTGAATGTCAGCGGCAGATTTTTGTTAAAAAACATTAAAATGCTGTTCCAAATATTAGAGGCAGATTTTTGTTAAAAAACAACAAAATTGTTATTTTTTAACATTAAAACGCTATTCCAAACATTAGAGACAGGTTTTTGTTAAAAAACAACAAAATTGTTATTTTTAACATTAAAACATCATTCCAAACGTCAGAAGCAGATTTTTGTTAAAAAAAATTTTTTTAATCTATCGGATATAGATACAGATTTAGATTCAGATTTGTTAGATTCAGATACAGATTCGAATTCAGATTTGTCAGATTCAGATCGAATTAGATTCAGATTTTTCAGATTCAAGTTGAATCAGATTTTACTCAAATCTGATCTGATCTGATCTGTGCGGAATACTATATATAATATAAACAGTTTAGTTACTGCTGAAATTTATGTTGATCATTTCCATATATAAATCATGATTTTATTGGTCAGTATTATATTACATGATTTAAAGTTGTGATTTGTTAAAGTCTTGTGAAAATTATTAAATTGCCAATTCGCAACAATATTTTTATGATAGATCAAACGTAAATTTTTTTTTCATTTTTTAGTTTTTTTAATTCAATAGAATTTCAATGCCAAAACTAAATAAATGTAAAAAACAATCTTATAAGCTATCAGAAAGCATTGGAAGCAAGTAGAAAGTTCTAAAGAAATACTTTTATCACCATGCAATGAGCTATCAGATGTCAAACCCGATATGATTGATAAATCACAGTTTAATATCTTTTGAATGGAAGGTGAGAAAATATGCTTTGATAGTGATGAAATTATATAATCATTGCAAGTATTACAAAAAAATACACTAAAAGAGTTAGTTGAGAATCCTAAAGGATCACATGCATAGGCTAAAAAATCACGTGGGCCAATATATAAAGGTGATGTACAATCAACATTGCACAATAAGAAAGCAAATTTGCAAAAGGCAGCTTTGGGTTCTAAAAAGATCACTGATAAGTTTTTAACAAACGAAATTGCTGAACCCAATACAGATAATGATGATCTCATACTTGATGATATTTATGATAGCAGCGATGATAATGAGGAATTCACATTAGAAACCTTAGATTTATTATTAAAGCAAAGAAAGATGATTTGCGGCTTCGAACAGTAAGTCAATTTCTTCATCTAGTTCAAGACTAAGGATTTACTAAAGTGGAAGCAAGTAACTTTCTTGCTCAGATCGCCCCTTTCCCAAATCATCTTATCCAAATAATGCTCAATCTGCTCTTCTCCTGGTTTACATACTTCCATTTAGTGTTCCTTTGTGTAATGATCTGTATGAAGCGTTTTCGTACTCTGCCAACTTAATTTAACCAATTATTTGTCACCTTCTTAACATGTTTCCACTAATTTTTATAAAATAATTTTAATATTTTTAAAAAAAATTTTACGAGAATCTTATATAAGATATTATAGATATATACATCCCGAAAGAACTTATAAAATGATTCGATTTTTTTTTCTGCAAAATAAAAAAATTTTATGCTAAATATTATATGTAGACCCACTATAAAAAATTTATTTTTATTAATACATCTTTACATGTCTCCATTTAATACGACATGGGTACGTATTGATATTCTATTAACGATAAATTCTTCTCTAAATTAACTTCCATGCCACTATTATGATTATTATTATTATTATTGCTAATACCATCATCTTCAAATGTGTTATTTTCATCTATCATAATCCAATTATCTTTGATGGGTTTAATTTCCGCATTGATGTTTTGATCAGCTACTATTCTCATAAATCCACGATACATTTCCACTCTTGCATTATGAATGCACACCATGGCATTCGGTTGTAATATATTTATTTGACCTAAATAATGAAATGATTTCTATTTAACAAAATATTTAAAAGATGAAGATATTTTGAATTATAGTAATATAAAAAATATATATTTGATACCGTTTATTGCTTTCATGATTATACATCCTGTCGAATCCCCGATTAGAATTTCCGCAACTTTCGTTTTATTCCAAGCTAAGAGATTGGGAATTGAGAATTGAGAAATTTGATAATTCAAACAAAAAAAAAATATAATCAAATTATCTTGATACTAACTACTATAATCATCAACTTCTCCTAATATGATTTGTGCAATCACTTTTACTTTTAAATTCACTTGATGTTGATCTGGTTTTAATTCTTCCACAGGAGTATCTGTATTAATTCAAATATGAAGTTGAGGAAAAAAAATATATCTGTTAAAACAAAAAAAAATATTGAGAAAAAAAACACGAAGTGTAACTTTTACTACGAACAAGATATGGGTGACATTTGAACCTATATAACAAAAAAATTAAGAGAAAGATATTGTTTTAAGATGTTCGAGGATACACGAAAATTTTCGAAGCAAGAAGAAAAACTCATTATTTATATGCATGCGGGTTGTCGATCTCCATTGTATAAAAAAGATCTGATAACTACGATATTTCTGTTTCTCTTAAAAATGTCTTTTATAAATGTTGCTAGGGTTTTAGTTAGAAGGTCTTTTAGTAGTTCCTTATTGAAAACCAGTAATAATAATGTATTAGCGGAAGGTGTGAAAATATCTCTTTCTGTTGGATCAATGAAAAAATCTTTCCACGCTAGTACTTCAAATGCTTCTGATAAATTGTTTCTTGCAAGTATTTAAAAATATTTCACCAGGTTTATTCGAAAATTCCAAAACTAAATAAATCACCTTCTCTTTCGAAATTTTTGAAATAGCACCGAGACACACCAGAAAATAATCTTTCAATTCCATTTGAATTTACACAAGAAAATTTGAAAAGAGCAAAAGAAATTATTTCACGCTATCCACCACAATATAAGAAAGCGGCCGTTATTCCTTTATTGGATTTAGGTCAACGTCAATTAGGTTGGACGAGTATTTCGGTGATGAACCATGTATCTAAATTATTAGAAATACCTCCTATGCGTGTTTACGAAGTTGCCACTTTTTACACCATGTTTAATCGGTACTTTTAAGATCATTTATATTCTTTATATTTTATTTTTATTTTATTTTATTTTTATTTAATTTGAAATGGTTACGAAATAGAGAACCTGTTGGAAAATATTTTCTACAACTTTGCACGACAACACCATGTCAATTAAGTGGTTCGACGGAAATTTTAGAGACGATTCAAAATTATTTGAAGATTAAACCAGGTGATACAACTCCTGATAGATTATTTACTTTGGTAGAAGTTGAATGTGCCGGTGCTTGTGTTAATGCTCCCGTATTGGCTATTAATGATGATTACTATGTATGTATAATCAAATGATGTTTTTGGCGATTCTTTATTGATTCTAATTATTTTATTATTTTCTGTGGTGGAATATAGGAGGATCTAACACCCGACACGACTATAAAAATATTAGAATCGTTAAAACAAGGTAAATTACCAAAACCTGGACCACAAACTGGTCGCCTTACTTGTGAACCTAAACATGGTCTTACTTCTTTGACGAGTGAACCGTATGGTCCCGGTGATTTTGTTAGACCTGATTTATAAATTAATTTTCAAATACTTGAGCGCCATCATCAACAATATCTAAGACTTTTACGATTACTTGAATATCATGTTTTAAAAAAACTTTTGTTATTGTATCGGAAATCTTATCAAAATTATTGATTGCTAAAGCTAAAATTGTTGGTCCCGCTCCGCTTAAACATATTCCTAATAATCCCGGATGAGATGTCGGTTTTACACTTGATAAAATTTCTGGTAATCCCGGAATCTTAAAAAAAAAATAAATTAAATTACGAACGTTAAAGTTGTTCAATCATATTTTAATTACGATCAATCCCGAGAAAGTCAACTTACCAAATGTCTACGGTAGGGTTGATGTATTTTATCTTGCATGGCATGAAATATCAAATCAGCATCTGGTGGTGACTGTGATAACGCAGTTGTCAAAACGGCTAATCGTTGTAAATTAAATACCTGAATCAGAAACATAGCTTAAAGTTAATTGAAGAAGAGTGATTTCAAAGGAGGAAAATTTCTTATAATACATTACCACATCCTGTCTATCATAGGTGAGTGGTAGCACATGTCTAGCGGTAGCCGTAGCGACTTCAAATTGAGGAACGATAGTGATGGCTTTAATCTCTCTAGCCCAATTTAATTTAATGTAATGTCCTATTCCATTAGGTACTGTTGGTGTTAATTCTCGTCCATCCACATCCATTGTCTTATCAGCGGGGGTTTCACGTTCCAGAGTTTCAGAATGAGGAATAACAGGGGCTTCGAAATCTTTAGGATCCAATTCACGTAAATAAGAGGCAACAAATCCACCCATCAAGGCTGCGGCAACATTATCAGGATGTCTTTCAATCATTAAACAGTAATCCAATAACCTATCTTTGTTCAACCCAAGATCTCCTGTTATGTTCCCTAGCATTACACCAGCAACAACTGCTGCTCCGCTACTACCTAAACCTCTACCGAAAGGAATTTCGTTATTAACATGTATGGTCATTGGTGATGGGAACCCGTCGATATTATTTGAAGCTAATACGTATAATGCCGTTTTTGTGATTAAATTTTGGTGAATGGATAATGGTACGTGTGAACTACCTTCTCCACTATAAGTTAATGTTATATCTTTATTGGAATTTGACAACTCATGATGTTTTGGCAGAAGTTGAATGGTTAATGTTAAATATAATGATAATGTAACTCCAAGCACATCAAAGCCTGGTCCTATATTTGCAGAAGTAGAGGGGACTCTTATTTGTATTTTTCTTTGATGGACCATCACGTTTAAAACAAGAGAAAGATTATATACGAAATGAAATTTCTTTTTTTTATAAAAAAATTTTTTTGCAGATCTTTTCCTATCTTTCTTTTCCGAGATTTTTTAAATCAGATAAGATAAAAAAAAACCTTTTGATGTCCGGTGTAGCAATGATGTAATATGAAATTGGTGCTTATCAAAGACTAGACCCTAATTTTCTTTCCCTACCTTAAGAAACGAAATAAAGAAATGGGTGAGGTATTTACATTATTTTAATCATAAATACATTTTTATTACTTATTCTATTATCATTTATTTATAAAACTTCATATAAACACTTTTTTATTTTAAAGGAATTACAAGGTTATTTTGAAAAGTTATTAACAAGGCAATTATCCTCTCTTTTTTATTGTTGTTGTTATTGGTTAAAGAAAAAAGACTTTATACAATATTACTTTTATTAATTTGGCATGTGATCTTTTAATAGGATAGACGGGTTGAAAGCTGTAACCGTTACAGATAGAGATGGGGTTATATTGATCAAATGTAGCTTTGTATTATTTCTTTTGATTTCCATCCGTACATTTCTTTTGCAAACCTTTAACAAAGACCCTTTCTTTATAAAAATCAAATAGCCGTATCAAATGATGTATCACAGAGAGTTCTGGAACCAGCATTATCAACAACATTCGCTGTAATAAGTGATCAGGTAAAGCACAACATAAAGCGCACACTCTTTTTTGGCATTCAAGTAAAAGGTTAATTCCAACTTTCCTCTAAGGCATCCAAATTAGGATTGAAAAAGAATAAATCAATCGTAAGTTTGTTTGGAATTTTTCAAATTGTACAATTTAATCATACACCTTTAATCACTACTTTGGTTGCTGATTCGGATTCTAATACTGGTAAGGTGTTCATTCTTATCTTTTTCAAAGAGAAGATGAGAGATATTGACAATCCATTATTTCATTTTAAGGAGTTTTGTTGGATCTTGGCGATGAATTAAAAGAAATTACGGATGTAATTGCCTCAGCATTATCTGATAGACAGGTCATCTAGCGGGATTATTTATATTTATTCGCATCTTAAGTTAATTCAATAAATTTAGTATTTAACATTGAATATATATATGACTTTTTATTAGATACAAATTAAAAAAAACAAATTTCGTTCATTTTATTTTTTTTTAATCCTAAATTGTAAACATTTATTAATATATTTAGAAAATTAGAAAGAATACAATCAAATATATGAAATATAATATATTACCATACGAGTTTTAAGGGTGCGAGTAATGACACGATCTGGAGTACTAATGAATTGAAATTGTTTTTTAAAACATTGTACAAATCAATAAATATTATATTACATTAAAACTTACATTGTGTGAATAACAGCGCCCCACCCGACCATGGAATTTCTATCAGCGGCACTCAACAAAGCTTGCGATGCTGTTTCGAACAAATCATCCGGTTCTAAATCAGGTTCCCATAAAGATTCACACATTCCAAATAAAGCCTCTTCTGCACATCCAGCAACAGTAAAATCATCAGGAAAATTAAGACATCCTATCAAATCCATTCCATAAATATGTGGTTTGTTATTTTTGTCAAGACCAGCAACTATTGGCTCACAAAAATACGGACCAAACCTATTTAATAAAGAAAATACAAATGTTAACAAATTTATTATTAAATTTTTTTTTTTTTTTTTTAAAGAACATGTTAACATTTTACCTTCTTCCGTATAATGTTGAGGAAATCATATTTGCCAATGTAAGTGGTTCGATTTCACGTTCTTCACGTAATTTATACATGTTAACTTTTAAACGAAATAATTCCGATCTAAAAATAAAAATGATCATGATCAATCTTCGATATTTCATCTTTCAAATTGATGGCAGGGCAGTGATTGATATTTACAAAGTTTGAACATCAGAAGCTAAACCGGGAAGTCCAATATAACATTTTTCTGTAACCGGAAATATCTTTTGGAATTCAGTCGATACTGTAAGATTTTGAACACCAAGGCGTTTATCGGATCCAATAACAACACAATTCTTCCCAGCCATGGCTAATATAGTCCCACCATTATATTGCGTAATCGACTATAAGTCACGATCATAAAAATTAGTAAATAAATGTACTTTATAAAGCTTTGAAGAGAGAAGCAAATCCCTTTACCATGTTGACTTAATATTTATTAAAGTAAAGAGAAAGTTATTCGAACAAAAAATTTTTGTCTGTTGCAATTCAAGTTTTTATTGGCATTCTGATTGTAGATCATCAACAGCGTAATCGATTACGTTTTCAAATCGTAACACAAATTGGAACGCTTTCTCTTTTAGAAACGTAATGGAATACATTTCAAGTAATACGCCTCCGTCTTCATTTCTTTATTTTCGAATGTTTAATTAAAATGATTTCTTTAAATTTTTTTTAGTTCTCTCTGAACGTGAACGGTTGGCCGAAGACATTTTAACAAATAAACAATTGGTATAAGATTTAATTAATATCTTTGCTACAACCTTTTCCTCTAATTACAAGTTTATTGCTCTTTGAAGATTGTAGATTATGATAGAACAAGAAATACCAATAGAGAAGCATTAAATAATTTGAAGAAAGAATCTTTAAATTCTCAAAAAAAAGTTTGGGTAAATCTTGGCGAGTTCTTTATCAAATTGGAAAAAGATAATGTTAAATCTTATATCGAAAAAGGTTCGTCTTCCTTATCTAATTGAACTATTGAATAAATTGTTTAATTTCATTATATAAATGGTTATATCTATTTTTTACAGATCAAAAGAATCTCGAAAAAGAAATTTCTTCATTAAGAGACACAATAAAACAAAAAACTACTGATTTAGAAAAATTAGAAACCGGTGAAATCAACCAAATGAAAGGATTTGAATTACAGGGCATTACTGCTAAAGATTTATATAATATTACTGGTGTAAATAAAGAATTTGATGGATAATTCTCTTATCGATCATTACATATCAGATATATTTTAAATATTTATTTATTTATTTTTGAATAAAGGTTAATTTAATACATATATTTATAAATAAAATAATAAGAATGCAGTTTTTATTAACGTTAATATAAAAACCTTAAATTGTTCTCTAGCTTTTTTTAATTTCGATAATAATTAATTCAAGACACTTCTAATTTTTTCAATAATCCTTTTAAACTTTTTCCGTTCTTTTCACAATTTTGTATTAAATACTGTTCAAATTCCTCACGAATATTTTTCAATTCTTGCGTAATTGGCATTTGTCCATCCTTTTTCGCTAATAAAGGATTCAAAAGCAAATCAAATAACTTTTGCCAAAGTTCTCCTTGCCAGTATCGCTTAAATGAAAGTATTGGTTTATATCTTTTCAACGCCATTGTTGCTGGTCCGGACATCAAATTATTCGACTCTGCTAGTATTGGAGTAATTTGCATATATTGATTATGTAGCATACAATGTACAACTCCTGCCAGCCCATAATAGTCAGCTTGCCATTTCCAAGGCCTACCCTCACGCATTTCAACGCAATCTTGATCGTCAGTCACCCACTCGGCTATGAATTTCATATCATTAGGGAATAATGTCACGTCAATAGAACGCCCAAAATCAATCAATTTAATTCCTTTCTTTGACCATCCATTCGCTCCAGATGGATCATATCTTGATCCCCATTCTACTGTTGGTTCCAACCTCAAAATACAATTATCTGCTTTGATATCACCATGTATTATTCCGGCCTGGTGAATCGATTCCATTGTTTTCAATAATTCTATTGTAAAGAAGAATACCAAAAGTTCATCCAATTGCGAGTTATCCTTTTTAGCTTTATTAATAGCATCCAAAATCGTCCCTTGGTGACAAAATTCCATCACCATATAACTTTCGTCCTTGTAACAATACAAAGAATATACGGAAATAATAGAGTCAATAGTTGGAGAGATAATCCTTTCTTGTAATTGTCGTATAATGTAAAATTCCCAGGCACTTGAAGGTGTTTCGATTTTTAATGCACGTGACGATTTCTTTTCATCCTGATCGTCTGCAAAATCATTTGTATCCAGTACACGATAGATTTTCCCGTATCCACCTTCGTCAATTTTTTGATTTATAAGGAATGAATCATTAAAGAATATGACAGGCTTATCACCGTTTATCAAGATACTTGTACCTCGCCGACTTTGTACATTCCAAGAGCGCGCAATTTCTTCTATCTTTGATCCATGATTGAAAGTCTGTAACTGAGCATCATAAAATCCTTTATACCGATTTACGGGAGGTCGAATGGCAACCAAAATTTGTTCAATGACCTTACGGTCAAGTGGATTACATGGATTAGAAAGTTGCGTAAAAGTTGGTGATTCCAAAGAGTCTTCTTCTATACATTCTATTGGAGACACCGAATCAGCCCTAGTATCGCCGAATCCTGATTCGTTCGTAGAAGGTCTTACTTCAGTGATAGCATGCTGTTCTAACTCACGTGATGGGGTGGTAATTAACATATATTCACGCCTTGTTTCTTTTATTGGCGTAACAGTATCAAAATTCTTCGATTTATTACCACGACTATTTTCATTATTTTTTTGATCATCTGTCTCACGCCCATCAATTTGCGAAATTTTTGATGGTTTTTGACTATGATTACTATTCGCTGATTGCTGATGAACAACATTAGTATTTGGAGCGACATTTTCATCATCAATATTATGATTTCGAATATCCTTTGATGGTTGAGTAAATGTAAACATCCCTATTATGTCTGATAGGGCAGCCTTTGTGCATATAGTCGGAGATGGTTTTTTGACAATTGTATTCATATCCGACGCTAATTTTTGTACGAATGTAAGCGTATTGTCAGATGCATAAATAGAAATCAATAAAAACTTAAACTTACATAATCGATTTATTTTGTGAACTGGTATATTGTATTCTTCAATATCATTACATTCTGTTTTACTTGGCTGAATTATTGGGATCTGCTCAAGCACTGGTGACTTAGTCTCTAGTACGTAATGTTTTGCTTCTGGTGTGTTTTCTATATTACAGCTTTGCAATGTAATCTTTTTTTTATCATTTGTATTTTTCTCTTGAGGCTCAAACTTGTCTTCAACAATTTCACTTAATTTTACTTCTAGTAATTCCAAGGCCTTAGCTCTCTTCTCTTCAAAGGAAATTTCATCGTCATTTTCATCATAAAAATCATTAATTTTTATGCTCCATCTTTCTTTCTGTCCCAGTTCATATCGTTTAACCTGTTTTGGTCTTTTCTCTTGAAATGTCGTTTCTTTTTTATTAATTTGTTCGTTGCATTGGCGAATATTTGTTGAATCATGTTCAACAGACTAAATAAATGATTAATGGCAACTTAATAATTGTCAATATATTTCAATATAAATATGATGATGATTTTTGCAAACCTTATCGCGATAAACTTCAAGCTTAGCAACCATCGGCGTGTAAACCTTTTTATTTTGAGGCAAGGTCACACCTCTCCATTGTTCAGCTTCTCGAATATCTTCTTTTTTCCTAGTCAAGTATGTTCCATAATTATTCCATGTTGAAGTACCACTATCTGTGGATGTTATTGCAGCATTTCCTACTTCGCCGTAAGGGTCATAAAAAATATCCAACTTTCCATTATTATTGTTATTATTGGAAATAACATTTGTACTCCCAACATCGGAAACAACGTGTGAAATTGGATTCCTTTGATGAAAAACATTCATTGGTTGTGATTGGGTGGAGGATGCTGAAGATTTAGAACCAAGAATAGTTCGTCGTGGATTTAGATTTAATTGTGTTACTGTAGTATTAAAGTTTACGCCATTTGACTCCATTCGTGTTAGAAATTGCTTGTAACGCTTATTCAGACGTCCAAGTGGTTGTGCCCTTCGACTTATTCCGGTTTCAAAAATTTCATTCGCTTCTTTAAAGCTTTTATATCTTTAAAATTAGTCTTTATCCATTTAAAAATATATAAAAAGAAAAGGCTATCTCACCATTTCATCTCTTCCATTAGTTCAGCATATTCCTCATAATAAGTGGCCAAATCTAATCCAATTCCATTAGATTTTAAAAACGCAAAATGTTCCTTAAGTCTTCTAACATGTTTAGAATACTGTAACCAACATCTCAAATATCTAGGATCATTTTTATATCGCGCATCATTTATAAAACTATTTGATGCGCGCTCCAGAAGTTGACATACTTTTGAATGAGGACCAGACGCCTGCGGATAGTTCTCCATTGTCCATTTTATGTAACGATCGTAAACATCAAAAGGATCGTCAAGCTCATCAAGATTTTCAAGTTCCGCATTAAATTTATCATGACCAGCTTGAAGTTCCGTATAAAGTGCAGAAGGCTCACTTGAAAATATTTGAGATAAAGCAGCTGCACTTCTACCTTGTTTTACTGGTAATATATTTTCTTTTTGGTGTTCAAACGACGAGAACTCTGGGATATTTTTTAAGTGTTGAAATTCCTTGTTATTCATCGTTACTTGTTGAACATTGCTAATAACTTTTTTTCGTTCCATTATAATATGGATAAAAATGTTAATGACTGAACCTCCAAGAATTTTTTACGTCACGCGTTATTTGTGGATTGTTGAAAAACATTGAATATCATTGGCTAGTTTAAAATAACATGTGATTATACAACATCATATGAGGTAGAGATGTTAACGGTTCGATCTGGCCCGGTTCGGTCCGGTTTCATGTGGTCCAAGGACCGTGGACCGAGTTCAATAATTTTATGAACCGGTCTGTAACTGAAATTTAAACCGAAAAAATTTATAAAACTTTATTAATTAAATCGAAAAAAAAAAATACCTTTTACAATTTTTATTATTATAAAACAAAAAAATTTAAACAGAGAAAAAAAAAACTATTCTAAGATTTTTTAATGTTGTTTTTTCTTTTTTCAATGACCCAATTTCTCGTACAAATTATGGCTCTTGCTGTTTCAGGATCTAATCTATTTCTTGTTCTTGAAATAGTTAAACCTGAAATCGAAAATGCCCTTTCTGAAGGAACCGATGTTGCTTGGATTGTTAAATAATCCTTAGCAATCATTGATAATACCGGATAATCCTTTTCATAAGTTTTCCACCAAACTAAAGGATCTGCATTACTATTTACCGGGGTGGTCAAATATCTATTTAATTCATCACATGACACTACTTGATGAATATTATTTGGATGAAACAAATTGAGAAAATAATCTCTAGAAGTTAATTTAGCTTTGGGTACTACTTGATCATTATTTAAGGGTAAGTATGATGTATATAATTCTTGTAAATTATTAATAATTTCAGATAAATTATCCTCAAATAATGTGATTTTGTAACGAGGATCTAATATCAAAGAAATTATAGAAGATTGATTTAAATGTTTATCCCAATATTTTTTTAATTTGTTATAAA